TAAAAAAAAAAAAAAAAAAAAAAAAAAAAATCCCAATACCTGTAAATTAATTGGTTTACATAAAAGTGATAGCGTTTACAAATGGCGGTATATATACTGGAATTTTTTTTTTTTTTAATACTAGTAATGGTGGTGATCAGCGACTGCGGCAGGCATTCTGACAATAGGAGGGAACTGACTGTCACTGACCTCCCCAGTGACACTAGTACAGTGATCAGTGCTAATAAAAAGCACTGACACTGTACTAATGACACTGGGCAGGAAGGGGATAACATCTGGGGCAATCAAAGAGTTAACTGTGTGTGTGTTTTATAGTGTAAGCACATTGCTTTGTATTGCTCTGCTTTCAGCCACCATATGGTTTATGTCGGCTGAAAGATGAGTGCGCAAGCATCAGACATGCACTGGATACTCCTTACCTGGGAACCCCCGACAGCTCACAGTACAGAGAGCACCTGTCTGCAAGCACCAGTATGGCTTAAAGCGGAGCTCCACCCAAAAAGCTGTCTAGGCAAATGTAAGCGAAGGTTCTGTGGATCCCTGCAACTAAAATGGCTTTTCTTAGCTGAAGATAAGATTGTAACTACACAGTGGGCCAAATGCAGCTTAATTGCTGCTGCTTATAGTGGTTGCAAAGGCATAAGGTTTTTTACCTTAATGTATTCTCTGCATTAAAGGGAAAAAATATTCAGTAATCAGCCCCCCCCCCCCCCCCCCCCAATACTTACCTGGCTCCTCTTTTGTTCCAGCACTGTGCCGAGAGCAGCATTGCTGCTTTCTCTCCTCACAGTACACAGAGGCATTCAAATCCTAGGAGGGGCAGATAGGGGTTTGGTGCCAAGCCAGGCGACCCACAGCAAGCGACTTGCTATGGTGAGTGGCGCACGCAGTAGAGGAGGCGCCTAGAACGCTGGCAGAGGACCTAAAAAGAGGCAATACAATTGCACAGAACAGGTAAGTATACAAGGTTTATTATTTTAAGAAAAAAGAAGCCCCTACAGCCTCTCTAGGTTTTGCTGGCTTCAGTGTTTCTTATGGCTGACAGATGTTACAGCGTGGGGTGTATCTATACCATATGATGACTGTTTCCTTGCAGCTTGTGACTGTCAAAGTGTATGAGGCTTTTTTTAATTTTTGCACCACTCTCTGATGCTGGTACTTTTAAATCAGATGTCTAAAGTAGTTCTTCAGTCAGGTTAAAAAAAAAATTGAAAGTCAGAAGCTTAAATAGTGTAGCTGCTTACTTTTAATAAAAGGACACTTATCTGCCCAAGGATCCAGCACTGTCCTCACTTGGGCCAGCATGGTTAGTGTGGGAAGCTGGCTGTGACTCCTCTCTGCTTTACAGTCATCTTCCCACTGCACATTCGTGTGCATTCCTGCAGCCTCCTGTGGCGTGTCACTGAAAGTTGCAGGGGCGATGGACAGAAGGATTCAGTAGTACATGTGGGTACCTGAAAACTAGGTGTGTATTACTTGTCAGTGTTATTCATGTTCATCAATATACAGCATGTAAGGCACGATCACAGGACAATGAACTGCGTTATTGCTATTTTTGGTATATATATATATATATATATATTTCAAGTAGTTATAATGCCTAAACATCTTATACCTTGCTGAGCCCACATTCCCTCCAGCGCTATGCATGTCTGCAGCTCTTTTCTTCCCTCCCTTCCTCATCTCACTGGCTTTGCTGAAGCAGCGGGAGCCGTTGGCCCCTGCTGCTGACAATCAAAGCCAGCGACAAAGGAACTGGGCCAAGTCCTGCTGTCTGTGTCAGGTGATGGTGGGGAAAACGAGAAGAGGAGTTTTAGGGCCACTTTGCGCAATTCCATTGCACAGAGCAGGTAAATATAAACCTAGTTGGTATCTTTTTGTTGTTGCTTTTTTAAAAAAACACAAAAAAAAAAAGCATTTACAATCACTCTCAGCTATATGATTTACAATGCAGTTTTCATGTTAGCATTTCTTCGTATCTGAATAGTACAGGAGGGTATAGTGCGCAGTTATGGACAACATTGTCTGTATTTATTGGTGATGGAGGGGCTTGTCAATAAGGTACTTATATTTACATTTTGGTTGGGGACATTCCGTGTGGTGTCCAAGTCCAATATTTCTTCTGTAATTCATAGACAAGCAATTAAAACCTTCGTTGGTCCTCATCTTTAACAGCTCAGGTAATTAGAGAAACCTACGTCAGTGAGAAGATCACCACTTTGTTGCTTAATGTAATTTGGCATTTCTGTTTTTGTTCTCTATCTAAGGGTAACCTGTGTTGTACATACAATAGTGACATACAATATCACTAAAGCAAAACTATTTCTGATGTAAGTTTCAGGACCCCTTTAAATCTGTTACGTTCTAACCACCATGACTTCGGCACAATTTTAGGAATGTTCACTTATGCAACTATAATTTTTGTTTCTTCAGTGGACCCAACTTAGATTGAGAAAGCAGAATCTGATGCGTCTGTTCCAGAAAATGCAGGCTTATCAGTATGAGCAGATCGCTGCGGATCCAGATAAGCCACTTGCTGATGAGATAACCTCTGGATACTGCAGACATGGAGAGGTAACTGATAGATGTTTATTGTAATTGCGGAACAAAGAAAATGATCATTTACTTTTATATTAAGGCTTCACTGCTGCTCATAAATTTGAGTTCAGGAGCTTTTGGCTTTTTTTTTTTTTTTTTAATAACCAAAGCCCCTGAACTAGACTCAATGAAAGCCTATGTGTCCATGCACACAAAGACTTTTATCAGAGTTTAACAACAGAGTTTAGGTCCAGCTACATGTCCCTCTCCTGAACACAGAAGAATCACGTTAAAGAGAGGAACGTTTTGGCCAAATAAAAAAGGCCGAATCTGGCAATACCGCACCTGGAAGTTTTTTTTTTTTTTTTTTTTCTTTCATTTCAATGGTCTGTGCTCTGACCAACGAAATGAATAAACATCCAAGTGCTAAACGCGGTACTGCATATCCACTTGTTTTTGCTACATATAGTGTTTTTCTTCTGCCAGCAGAAAAACGTTTCAGTGTACACGGAGCCTAAAAGGATTTGGCATATAACATTTAGAAACCTGCTTGCAGAGAGTAATATTTAACATGATACATAATCGGCAATTTTAGACAGAGGTTTTCTCTGTATGAGCAGCTTGGAGCTGACATTTAAATGACTTACTTTTTTATTACAATTTCTGAGTTGCCCATATATTGGACTTGTGAATATGTTTTAACTTCTCCTCTTATCCTATGCATTTACGGCAAGGTAAATGAATGATTGTGAACTTCTGCTGCTGCTTCTTGGCAAAAAGGCAGGGGTTCAGAGAATGGCATGTAGCGTGTTTAGTTTGGAACCACTGTATTCAGCTCCTACTAAAAAGATATCCTAATTGTATATTACTGAGCACAGCATGAGTTACAGTTGTGTACCTTCAGGTGGACACTGACAAAGCTTTAGTAGACACCCTTCTGGGCACCTCTCCTATATCCTTAACCCCCCCTCCATGTGTCTTCAGTTTTGTGTTTGTGCCTGAAGGTGATGGACCTTTTCTCCTTCACAGAGAAAACTACCCTTAGATTTGCTAGTTTAATATTTTTTTCTTTATTATTTTATTGTCGGATTCCTCAATCCCTCTTTATCTTCTAATGCCAGTACAGAAGCAGAGTATGCAGATTAGCACAACACTTGTTAAATTTGGGAGCCATACCCAAACCCTATGCTCTAGGGACAAACTTTTCTGCATATATGTTGCCTTCAGAACATGTCATTAGACACATTTCTAGAATGGCTTTAATCTCTATTCACATGCTCAGAACTTTATAGCTAAAAGCTTTGACAGCTGAAGCTGCCTACAAGAGGTACCTCGCACGTATGCCTTTCCAAAGAAGACAACTGTTCAATGAGGAACTTTACCAGTTAATCAGAGGTTGCAGGTGGAAAGGTTTTACTTCCAAAATAAAACATCCCAAAATTCCCTTTCCAAGGATCCTCCTGGCTCCTTTAAAGCAGAGAACCTCTTCGCTGTAACCAGGCTTCAAGGTCAAAACCTAGGTTTAGCTCTTCCTTTGACACAAGGCTTGGCCCACATAGGCCCCCAAGCTTTCCCCAAAGCCCCCTTCACAGTAAAGCAGCACCCTCACTCCTTACAGTCGGGGAATGTCTGCTACGGTTTGCCACTCTCTAGGTCACAGATGTTTCTGAACTGACGGCCCTTTCCTGTGTGAGCCTTACACCATACTTGACAAAGACAAGATTGCCTTTCGGCCATGACCATGCTTTTCTCTCAAAGGTGGTTTCAGTATTCCACCTCGGTGAGAATATTGTCCTACCATCCTTATGCCCTACTCTTAAGCATCCAAAGGAAATTTCTCTACATTGCCTAGACATAGTCATAGCCATTAGAGCACACAAGGGTAAGTGCATTGACCTTCCACTTACACATTACTGCAAAGGCTAGTTATAGGTTCGGGGTTGTTTCCACTTTTCTGTACCATTTAGAGAATACCTCAAGACAACTGCTGCAATCAGACTGTCAGATTCTTTGTGTTTGTCCTGTCCTTGGGACCTGTACAATTAAGAGAATGGGAATTTTGACTTAACCTGCAAGTTCCATTGCTTGAAGTTCATTACAGATGCAGGCCACCCTTCCTTCCATTCCTTGATTCACTCTCCCATGAGTGCTACAAAGCTCACAGAGGTGGGTAGGGGTTGTAGAGGAGGTTCCCAGGAGGCATGTCCTCTAAAGCTTTGCCAGTGTCCAATCACCTTAAGGTACATACCAATAACCCATGGTGTGTGAATAATCTGTGTCCTGTACTGTACTTAAGATATGGAATTTACAGCCAAGTCAAATTCCTCTTTATCGTATTCATTTTTTATTTTTTTTAAATGTGTTGTGTTTAAGTTTAGTTATAAATTTAACTTTGTGTAGGCTGAAAGATGTCCGGTCAATGGATGAATTAAAGGACGTGTATAACCATTTCTTACTGTACTATGGGAGAGACATTCCAAAGATGCAAAATGCAGCCAAGTCCAACCAGAAGGAAGATGAAACGCATCCCTGAAGAAGGAGAGGAGGAAGGTTTGTATATGATAAATATCCCAAGGGCCACTGTACTTTAAAAGTATTAAGAACTGATTTCTAAATTTCATGTCATTACCACAATCTGAAGCATATTAATATTTACATTATTTTTATATAACATCTAACACAATACAGAAAAATGAAGACTTTGGGACTGGTATACACATTTAGGCATCAAAAAAGTGGTTTAACAGTCTTTAATCTCTAACATATGAAGTTTCAAATCTGGGATCAGAAGAAAATGTATGTCATTGTTGAAAATGGATGCTTCCTGACATTTTTATTGTCAATGCCCTTATAACTGCATTATAACATTGCAAATATTTATAATTGCTGTGAATAATTTTCAGGAGCTGAGCCTGTAGAACAAGAGGAGGAGCAGAAGGGACCAGAGTTAAAGCAGGCTTCCCGTAGAGATATGTATTCTATCTGCCAAGGAGCAGGTCTTGGTAAGTGTCCTCTCTTTGATATGCAAGCATATCACGGCACTTCTCTCTCTTAAAGTCTAAAGCAGCCCATAGATGAGTCTTTTTTTTGTTCTCCTTCAACTAGTGGGGTTGAAGGAGAAAAAAGACCCAATTCCCCCTTAATCACACTCAAAATGGAAGAATCCTTCCTGCTGAGCTATTGTATTCTGACAGCAGGTACACTTCCCCACCATCAGAAAACACTGATTAGTGTTGCCCGCTATAGCTAATGGCGGTGATTGAACAGAGAAAGTCCAACAGGGTGGTTGTACAGAAGTTGGTCTGTACAACCAAACCTGCCCATAGAAGGATTGAAATCCAGTCAGTCCCTACTGAATCGGATGAATTTCGATCCATGTATGGCGGGGTTTTAGGTTTTTGTTTTTTTTTAATCAAAACAAGGGGCACTACTTACATTCAATCTGAAGTGTCCCTTGTGCTGATGACTGCTTTCTTATTTAAAATCCAAAGTTCTTCGAATACATCTGTCATACCCCTTACCCCACCCATACCCCTGCAACCCTAGTTTTCTGTTGCTTTGAGAGTAATACGATCAACTGGACTTCTGATTTCAAAAGAGCAGCAAACTGCACAAGGGATACTTTGCATTGAATGTAAGTACCGTCCCTTAGAGTGCTGATTTAAAAAAAAAAAAAATGAACTAAACTTAGGCGTTAAAGGCTAAAGAAAAAAAATAAATGCACAAAGTTTTGCAGGCAAATGTGCATTTTTTTTCCCCACAGGAGCCTGCAAAGGCTCATGCATACTCCCCCTCCAGCTTTCTGCTCGTACCCCCTTACATAATTTACAGTTAGAAAACTGAAGGAAATGTGAATGGACAACGAGCGCTCTGATTAATGTGCCCGTAGTCCTTTGAGTACTACAAGCTGTCTGCCATGGTGGCAGACGAAACTTGTAGTCCATTGTATCACTGTTAATTAATAATGTGGCTGTGTGGGCGGAGCCCCACTGATGTTAAATGTGGCAGTGGAGTGGAGAGAAGCCTCAGTTCGCAATAAGTAATGCTCTGAACTTGAATGCACTTGTAGTCCATCTAATCATTGGAAAAGCAAATTTCTGTTTACTTATTTCTTTTGCACATTGTAGGATCATTGAAGTGATTTCTCCCTATTCTGTAATGATTCTCAAAACCTTTAGTATATGAAGCCCATAGGTATTACCCATTTAAGCTGCCACTGTATTTTTAAGTTGTGAGAGAAACCTTGAACACCCAGACAAAATGTATGCACAAATAACATGCAGACTCCACACACATTTCTTTGTGAGAATTAAAACCTGGACTAATTAATAGGTGACCATGCTGTCAGGTATTTACCAAGAAATCTTTTTTTTTTTTTTTTTTTTTTTTTTTTTTTTTTTTTTCCCCCAGTGTAAATGCTACTATTGTTTTAAGTCTTGCTTTTTGAGATATTATATCACTTGCTCGTATTCCTAGTTTTAGGATGCCATTCACCACAAGTCCACATTGTGATAATTTACTGAGTCCAGTATCTTTTATGAAATCCCACAGATGGCTTGGCAAAGAAGTTTGGTCTTACACCAGAGCAGTTTGGAGAAAATCTGCGAGACAGTTACCAGAGGCATGAGACTGAGCAGTTCCCAGCTGAACCTCTAGAGCTTGCCAAAGATTATGTGTGCAGGTTAGTCCAAACTTTTGTTTTACGTGCAAAAAAAAAAGTGTTAATAGAGTGCAGAACTTCACAGTTGCTAGTTTGGTTTTTCTACCATTGTTGTATTAATACCATATATAAAAATGATGCTTGGAAGTAAAGCCACATTTAAAACCATTTGAGCATAAACAGTTGACAGAACTCTAATATTAGTAAAGTATGCCTATATAAAGCTTAGTCTTAAAATATCATTTTGTTTGTTCTAGTCAATTCACAACGCCTGAGGCAGTGCTGGAGGGGGCCCGGTATATGGTTGCACTGCAGATTGCTAGAGAACCTTTGGTTAGACAAGTCCTGAGACAGACCTTCCAGGAACGGGGCAAAATCAATATTGTGCCAACCAAAAAGGGCAGAAAGGCAAGTGTTTGTATTTCATTCAAGGAATATTTTCGCTTTCTTTATTAGGGGACACAAAACTGGCTTTAGTTGGTATTCATTCTGTTTTCACATGTGCAGGAAGTGGATGAAGCCCATTTTGCGTATCCTTTCAAATATCTGAAAAATAAACCTGTGAAGGAGCTTCGGGATGAACAGTTTCTTAAGATGTGCATTGCAGAAGATGAGGGTTTAATTACCATTGAGATCAGTATTGATTTGAAGGATGTTGAGGGGTAAGTGTGAATATTTGTTGCCATAATGGCCAAATTGCTTTATTAAAGCCAAATGTTTTTCCTGTTTCTTTGACACATAACTCTTCATATCACTTACTGTTCATCTAATTATTCAGTAGCTAACCAGTTTTTAGCATGTATGGGATTCTGAGTTCTTTTCAGCGACAGGATCATCAGTGTGACCTAACCCTAAGAATTTGTTTCTACTTTATTTCTTATAGTTTGGTGACTTTCGTGGTCAGTGGCTCCTCCAAAACCAGTTTGCCCGTGTTTCATTTTTAATATGAAAGCATGTAGTTGCAAAGAAAAGTATAGTATATAGTTGACCTAATAGACCATGGTGATGTAGCATATGAAGATTTCAGGACCACTGTTATGAATAATGTAACAGAAGAACTTGCTTGAGCAGTTACAGCACCATTTTGTGATTCTGAAATTTTTTAATTTTTTTGCAACCCTGGTAGTGTTGTAGTTTGTCCCAACACTTTTCACTTTTGCGGGACAGCTTTATCTGTCTGTAAAAAAATAAGAAAAATATCATCAAAGCATGTGAACTGAACAAATTGTGTGCTAATCGTATATAATTCTTAATTTGTATTTGTTTCAAGTAAATTATAGTTATTTTTTTCCTAATTCTTCAGCTATGGAAATGAGCAGACCTATTTTGAGGAGATCAAGCAATTCTATTACAGAGATGAGTTCAGTCACCAGGTTCAGGAGTGGAACAGGCAACGCACACTGGCCATTGAAAGGGCCCTAAAGCAGTTCCTGTACCCTCAAATGGGCAAAGAGTTGAAAAGTAAACTTATCCTGGAGTCCAAAGAATATGTTGTTAAGGTGAGAGACCAAATATGTTATATTTTCTAGTTTTACGTCACTTTAGAAATGATAAGGCCTTGTCATGGTTTGTTTCTAAATATAATCAAACCCAGGCATATGATTGTCCACTGTGTATAATATATTTTATATTTGATTTGTCAGTCATGTAGCCGTAAAATGTACAACTGGTTGAAGGTAGCCCCATATCGGCCAGATCAGCAAGTAGAGGAAGATGATGATTTCATGGAGGAGAGCCAAGGGAAAGGAATCCGTGTTTTGGGTTTAGCTTATGCCTCAGCAAGGTACTGTATGTTTTATATATGGAGCTGTTTTTTGTAGTGGTGCACCGAAATGAAAATTCTGGTGCCGAAACCGATACCGAAAATTCAGAATGCATGTGGCCAAGAACCGTAACTGAAATGTCTGCATATATGGGGGTGGGGAGGCTCCAATTTGTTTTTTTTTTTTTTTTTTTTTTTTTGTTTTGTTTTTTTTTTGTTTTGTTTTTTTCTACTTTCATGTATATATTTTTTTTTAACTTATGATTTTATTGCCATCACATAGAGAACCAATAGTCCCCTATGTAATAGCATATGATTGACAGGTCCTCTTTGTAGGGTGGAGGGGGCAGGAGAGGCGCAGTGTATACAGTGAGGTAGCAGTGTATACAGAGAGGCTCCCTCACTGGTTGTCACTATATGTCGGTGCAGAATTTTAAATGCAATTTCCAGCTTTTTTTTTTTTCTTTACTATAGCTCACAGAATTAGCTGTCACTTTCCCCCAGCTAAAGGAAACTTTGTTTCTTTTATCTTGGGAAAGAAACTAAAAGGAAACATTGTTTCTTTGAACTCAGGGAAATAAACTTAAAGGAAACTGTTTTATTTAGCTTGGAGGAAAAGTGACAGCTGATTTTCTGAGCTATAGTGAAGAGAAAAAAAAGCTGGTAATCACATTTAAAAACCGGCACTGTCTTAGTGACAGCCAGTCACTGCATACACTCCTACTCTCCTTCCTTTCTCCACCTCCAACCCCCCCCCCCCAACCCATCTCTCATCTGCAGTACACAGAGTCCCCTTGTATCGGTTACATCTTTCCTATCGGCAGAATGCCGATAGGGCTATTTTCAGCCAATATGTTTCGGTGGCCAAAATTTCGGTGCATCCCTAGCTTTTTGTGCCCTTTTTTCCCTTTTGGGTTTTTCTGTTTTCATTCTCAACTGCTTTACTCTTTTTATGTATGTTTTTCAGAGACCACCCTGTTTTTTGCTCTCTAATTAATGGGGAAGGTGAAGTCACGGACTTCCTGCGCTTGCCATACTTTACAAAGCGGAAGAATGCTTGGAGAGAGGAGGAGAGAGAGCGTAAGGTAGTGTGGACCTTATTCGGAATTATTTATTTAGAAACCTTCAGAAATAGTGGACTAATATTGGCATCTCTTACATCTTGCAGGCTCATGATATGGAGAGCCTGAAAAAATTTTTGATTAGCAAGAAGCCTCATGTTGTTGCCATTGCTAGTGAGAATCGGTAAGATCGCCTCTTCTTTAAATTTAATGTTTGCATATTTCTCAGAATAGTTGTTTAAAGGTGGGGCAGCAGACCACTGGAGTATTAGCCATGCCTTAAGGGCTAGTTCACACTAGATACAGTCCAGTGTGGGTTTTTTTCTGCATCAAAAATGCATGCACAGTGTTTTCCATGTATTCCAATGACCCTAGTTCACACCAGTGCAGTCAGTTCCAGTCAGTTTCCGGTGTAGAAAAAAAAGTAGAACATGCTGCAATTTTTCTGCACAGAACCATACTGGGACACAGCAAACTGCATCAAAACTGCACCTGAATTGCATGTGGTGTGAACTGTAAGAAAATCATATCCGGAATGCATCCGGGAGTGCAATTTTGTGGTGTGTGCACTGGCCCTAAGAGATTGGTAGCAGGAAGAGCAAAAGGGTATTCTTTTTCTACTGGACTATATCACTGCATAGAAAGTGAAAGCTTTGTTGTAGCTTGGTGTCTTAGGGGACAGGACATCTGAAAATGTTAATCAGAAAACCCTAGTTCAGAGATTCACTCTGTGAGAGCCTTTTTGTGGGGCTAGTTATATCGAGGGTCTGCCATGAGCAGATTTGTTTAACATTTTGAATGATGCTTCTCTACTTTGTCTTAATGTGTATCAGAATAACGAAAATGGATATGGTTGAACAACGATTTGATGTCTTGTTTTTGGTATTGCTTGAACATTTATAGCTGTGATTAAGAATTCTCTTGTAATTGGAGTTAATTATTTCTCCAGAGATGCACAGATGATGATTGAGGATGTTAAACGCATTGTTAATGAGCTGGAGCAAGCACAACAGATGTCTTCTATTGGGGTGGAAATGGTTGATAATGAGCTAGCTGTTTTGTATATGAACAGTAAAAAATCAGAGGTAAGTATGAAACCTGGGACACCAGCAAAAAAACCTTTTGGTTGCTTTTAGGTTTCATAAAGGGAAACCTTACTGTGAGAAACTAAAGTCGCCATTGCTTCTCTTGTCTATTCTCACTGTATTCATTACAGAAATACAATTGGGTTTTAACTGCTTCCCACTGGCAGCATGGAAGAGGTCATTATTTTGTGCTGCTATATATATGCATATGACCAGTGTTGATGTTTTGTGCTAGGAGCCCGATCAGTCTTGTGGCCCTAGCGCTGAGACCATGGTGTTGCTGACAGCTTCTGGTTACTGTTGACAATTGGAAGCCAAATGTTGAGCTCCTGATTACGTGATTACTGTGATAGCCAATCGCAGCAATCACATGATCAGTAAGCCCAGGAAACTACTCCAGCGTGGGGATCCACTTGAAGGGGCAGCGGGAGCCAGTGGAAAGAGGTTAGACTCAACACTCAGGTTTGATGTTATCCACTTTATCCAACAGAGTGATTTCCGGGACTATCCCCCAGTTTTACGCCAAGCAGTTTCTATTGCTCGCCGTGTTCAGGATCCCCTGATTGAATTTTCCCAGGTCTGCAGCACTGATGAAGACATTCTTTGTCTGAAACTTCACCCATTGCAGGTAACTTATACCACTGCTTCCAGTCTAGCTGTTTTTCATTTAATTTAATGTCAAAACTTAACTTTTTTTTCCTCCTCAGGACCACGTAGTGAAAGAGGAACTATTGAATGCCCTTTATTGTGAATTCATCAACAGAGTCAATGAGGTTGGAGTTGATGTTAACAGAGCTATTGCTCATCCGTACACACAGTCCCTGATCCAGTATGTGTGTGGCCTTGGACCACGTAAAGGCACTCATTTACTAAAGGCAAGTATAATTCATGGCAATTTAGAAAGGTGAATTTAGTAATGCTTCCCATATGTTCATGTGGAGACATCGCATTCAATATTCATTTCATTGAAGGACACTGAATTCAGAGATATTTGAATTATACAGATGCCTGCAGGAGGATTTGGACACTAGCAAAAAAAAATGACCAGTACTGTAAAACTCCTCCCACTCCCAGTATGTCTGTGAATTGCAACTGTTTTAGGAGAATGAATGTCGTTTCTCTATTGCGGCTTTTGAGGTTGTAACTTCCTTCAAAGATTGCAAATAAAAGTTTAAGACTTTTCTAAAGGCTCGCTTTGCTTTTGCAGGCCCAGCCCTGTAATTTCAGTATGTCAAACTGCAGCTAACTGGACTAGGGCAATGATCAACCAACAGGACCTTGTTTTCAGGATCATACTTTAACAGAGCAATTACAGCATTTACCTTCTGCTATGCTTTTTGTGCGGATGTCCTAGAACAAGTTATGCCACAAATTTCCAGAATTACTCTTAATTTCTATTCACGTGTATGGAATCTTTTGGCCAAAAGCCTGAACAGCTTAAGCAGCTGTAAACAATGCCTCACACCTAATGCCTTTTCTGAGAATACATTTGAAGAGGCAATTGACCAATTCATGAAATATGTCACAGGAGGGAAGGATTTATTTTTACTATAGAAGATCTCAAAACCTGCACCTCAGAAGCCCCTTCTGCAAGACGCAGAGCACCTAATTCCTCTACCTGGTCATCATCTACCAAACTGAAGTTCAACCTCTACGTGGGCCACAAAGCCCAGCAAACCTTTCCCAAAGCCCTCCTCCCAGTGAAAGACTGCTCTCAATGCTAAGAGTGTGGGGATATCTGTTACAGTTTGTGTCTCTTTGGGTCATAGGTGTCTCAGACCTGGGGGTTTAAAGGGGGTACAGCATAGAGTTTAAAACTCTTCCTCCTTTGCCGCTTTCTTCTCTCAAATCATCCAAAGATTGTTCAAGCACAGTCATATTTTTAAATTTCCCTAAACCATTTGTACCAATTGATTGTGGACCAGAGCAATTTATATGCACAACAATACATTGCCGCCCACCAAAATTCAGCTCTTGCCAGATAATTCGCATGGAAAGCTATCACAGTTTCTGAATGTAAAACTTTTTTGATAGGAGTAAATATACAAATGCAGTGAGCGCTCTCAATAGTTAGCAGCTGAACATTCAAGGAAAAACATATAAAAAGTCCCAAGGAATATGTATATAGAAAATGCAGCGCTATCTGGTATTATTATGCTATAGGCAATTATGATGATATCGGTACATAAGTCAAGAAAATATTAAATGCAAATGAATATATGGAATAAAATAAATCACAGTCCAAAGAAAGTGCTTGCTGATTCCCAGTGCAGATGGTAGAAATGCACACTAACCAGAAGAGTATTGGTAATACGCATGTGTATAAAATATCCTGAAGATTCCCTTCTCTTTTCTGGTCTGGTCATGGGCAGGAGCTGGAAAATGTGAAGATGAAGCGCATCTTCACATTACAGACAGGAAATGAACCAAGAGACAGGAAATTGTGGGTGAGGGGATTGTTGAGAGGAAATAGAGGAGACATTGCTGGAACTGGCAGGAGAGGAGCCTTTTCAACTTTTGCAGCCCCAGAGTGATCTCTGTACCAGCTCCTGAGAGGGGGAACTACATCTCTGTAAAGATTTCTCTGACCTGCTGGACCTCATCTTCTCCACACGAGGGAGCTTCATCTTCACATTTTCCTGCCCATGACCAGACCAGAAAAGAGAAGGGAATCTTCAGGATGTTTTATACACATGCGTATTACCAATACGCTTCTGGTTAGTGTGCATTTCTACCATCTGCACTGGGAATCAGCGAGCACTTTCTTTGGACTGTGATTTATTTTATTCCATATATTCATTTGTATTTAATATTTTCTTCACTTATGTACCGATATCATAATTGCCTATAGCATAATAATAACAGATAGTGCTGCATTTTCTATATACATAAAACTTTTTTGGGTCTAACAACATGGCATTACAAAAAAGAATGAACTGCGGTCATATTGGTCCACAGACCCGATTCATCATATGCCATGTTATCTGTTGTTACGTATATGCCCAACATGGATCAGCAATGTACTGGTACGTCGCTGGACTTTGAGGGGTTATACCAGGATGATGCCTGCAACTACAGGCATCATCCTAGTATCATTTTTCTTTTCAGCTGGTGGTTGGCTTTCATATAAAAGCAATCCTATTGGCCAATTAGCTGCTGAATTGTTTTATGAGCAGCGGGAAGCGACGTTCCTCCCCCTCGCTGCCTTTCACAGTTTTCTTGGGCTCTCCTGTCCCATAGGGGAATCCGAGAATGCAGCCGGAAGATCCGCTGGCTGACTGTAGAGCTGGTCAGAGACCAGCATGGTGCCAATCATCTCTATAGTCTAAGAATTCGGAAGCTACGAGCATTTCATCACTTTAGTTGCACAGGATATAAACAGTGCCGTTTGTAAATTGGGAGAGCATCTGATCACACCGATCTTGGTGAGATCAGATGATGTAAAGGCAGAGGAGATATCTAGAGTCTAATAGACCCCAGATTTCTTAAAAAAGAATACCTGTCACTGCCTATTGCAGCCAGAGGGGATATTTACATTCTCTGTGATAGCAATAAAAGTGATTAAAAAAAAGGGGGCAGTGTTAAAATAATTACAAAAATCAAAATAACAAAAAAAAGCACCCATGCCCCCTGTTGACCCTGTGACAGTATGTAAACAGCGGTTGCACCATGCATGTGAGTTATCACCGTGAACGTCAGATCGAGGGCAGTAATTCTAGCACTAGACCTGTGTAAATATAAATTGGTGAATATGAATTGGTGGGCCTCTGCTTTAAAAAAAATATATGTTTGGGAGTTCAAAGTAATTTTCTAGCAAAAAAACTTTTTTTTCATGTGAACAATAAGTGTCAGAAAAGACTTGGTCTTCAAGAGTGGGTGATGTGTGGCATAAGCTTCTAATGTTGGCCCTGAAATGCCAGGATAGTAGAAGCAACCCCTCTAAATGACCTCTTTTTGGAAAGTAGACACTCCAAGGTATTTGCTAAGAGGCATGGTGAGTATTTTACAGATCTCATTTGTTACCACATGTTTTTGGAAAACGTAGGAAGAAAACAAAAATGTATTTTTTTTCTTTTCTCTTTTTCTTTTTCAAAGCCCTGTGACAAACATTATCTGTAAAATACTCACCATGCCTCTTATCAAATTCCTTGGGTGACTACTTTCCAAAAAGGGGGTCATTTGTTGGGGTTTGGTGCTATCCTGGCAGTTTAGAGCCTCCGAAACTGTGATGGGTAGTGGGGAAGTGATATGAGGAAATATGCCCTTTGAAAGCCTGGAGGTAGTCATTGGATTTTGAGGGCCTGTGTGTAGCTAGGCTGCCCATCTCACATGTGGTATACCCATGCTCAGGAGAAGTAGAAGAATGTGTTTTGGGGTGTTATTCCACATATACCATGGCATGCATGAGCATTATATCATTACAGTGACAACTTTGTGTAAAACCAAAAAAAATTGGGGCAAAAAATAAAAATGTTCCATGGACTCAACAGGCCTCTGCAAAATCCTTGGGGTGTCTGCTTTTTAGAAAGGGTCATTGGGGGGGGGGGGGGGTGTTGTACTGCCCTGGCATTTTAGCACCTCAAGAAATGTGATAGGCAGTCAGAAAGTAAAAGCTACGTAAATTCCAATATATATACCATAGTTTGTAGACGCTGTAACTTTTACACAAACCAATTAATATACATGTATTGAGATTTTTTTTTTACAAAAGACATGTAGCAGAATACATTTTAGCCTAAATTTATAAATATTGGGGTTTTTTTTTTCCAAATTTTTGGTCTTTTTTTTTTTTTTATAGCGCAAAAAGTAAAAACTGCAGAGGTGAGCAAATACCTCCAAAAGAAATCTCTATTTGTGTGAAAAAAAGGACATACATTTTGTTTGGGGTACAGCATTGCGCGATCGCACAATTACCAGTTGAAATATGGGGTAAATCTTCTGGAGTGGTTAAAGCATGACATGTTGGGATATATATTTACTCAGCATAACATCATCTTTCACATTTTACAAAAAAAAAAGTTGGGTTTCTATTGTGTTTTTTTAATTTTAATCATTAGTGTATTTTTTTTTCCAGAACAATTTGCATTTGAAAAATATATTATTTTTAAACAACTGCCCATTTCGGTTTTCGGCCAAGTGCATCCTGAATTTTCAGTGTCTGCACCAGAATTTTCATTTCGGTGCACCACTAGTAGCTTCCAATCACTTGAAAGTACCAGCCAAAAGCCCAGGGTCTGTGAATATTTTGTCTGTTTCTTGTACTGTACTCCAAGTAAACTGTTAAACTCCAAACTGTTGAACTTTTCTCAGTAGAGAAGACCTCAATCCTCCTAGGCCACTAGCAATATACTGAGGCATTTTGGGAGTGAGAAGGGTTATATTGTGCTGGTCGCTGTTGGGAGTTTTTTTTTTTTTTTTCCAAATCCTTCTGTAGGCGGCAGCATCTCCCAATTGGTTTTAAATCCTTTGTTCCTCAATGAACTTCAGGTAATGAGTTTTACATTGAGAATCCTATATTCATTTTGTTTTTGTTTTTTTCAAGCATATCTAAAACCGAGAAAAAAATGATAGTATTGTAGCTTACCGGTCCTTTTTTCTTTTATTTTACCTTGGTAATCCTGCCTTCAACTCTCTTCTTGTCCTAGGATGACAACCTTATTGAGCAGCATGTGTGAGAGTGTGTGTTAGGTCTCCAGAACACTTCCCTTCCTTCTGCATAACAGGAGGAAGTGTTTTGTAGTCCACAGAGATAGAAGGGAGCAGTTCCAACTGATAACAGTTCAGAGGCAAAGAATACAAGAAATCATCAGCTCACAATATTTCTGACAGAACAGTTATTTGAATGAACAATTATTTTTTTTTGTAATTGTTGAATAGATATAATAAAATGCTTTCAATTGCATGTTTAACAGACAAAAAGGGTGCAAGTAGCAGAAATGCATTGTTTATATACACTGTCTAGATCTTTGTTTTTTGTTTTCAGATCCTCAAACAAAACAATACACGCCTAGAAAATCGTACTCAGCTGGTTACAATGTGTCATATGGGTCCCAAAGTTTTTATTAACTGCGCTGGTTTCATCAAGATTGACACAAACTCCCTTGGTGATAGGTTTGTATTTAAATTTTTGAGTTGTTTAAACGGTTAAAATAGATTATAAGCTGTAACTTCTATAACAATAAAAATGCAGCGCTAAATATATGAATAAATATCACCACTTAAAAGATAAAATTATTTTATAGGTGCACCTGATGAAATGTCCAAAATATATAATATAGGTTCAATATAGGTGAAAAGATTTAATCAAAAAGGTGACTCTAGGTGATGGCTCTAGTAATCCTGATAGGCATATGATTCAGTGATGTGCAAAGAATAATAATAAATATTGCGCACTCACCAGATGTGCAATTTACATGTGCAATAATCTCATCAAATGTGTCAGGCCACAGTCATAAAAAGTGCAACAAGAGGAGACTCCTAAGACGCCATCCCATTATCCAACCGCTAGGGAAGAATCTACACATTCCATGCGGCATCCTTCCCAGGATAAAGAGGGAACCTCTGGTACATTTGATGAGATTATTGTGCACATAAATTGCGCATCTGGTGAGTGCGCAATTTTATTATTCTTTGCACATCACCGAATCATATGCCTATCGGGATTACTAGAGCCATCACCTAGAGTCACCTTTTTGATTACATCTTTTCACCTATATTGAACTTATATATTTTGGACATTTCATCAGGTGCACCTTTAAAATAATAATTTTATCTTTTAAGTGGTGATATTTTTTCATATATTTAACGCTGCACTTTTATTGTTATATCATTTAGAGGGTTTTTTTTGTTTCATTTTAGTGCATTAGCTGCTTTTATTGTTTCAGTTTCTAGCGCTTGCTGAATTTCTACCTTTTATTGTAATTTAATTATATTTTGGTGTCCTTTTATCATGCAGCAGTAAATGACTGCTGCTCAGTTCTCTGGCATTCTCAGAGGAGACAGTTCTCTGAATGCCTTTTTATGAATCAATGTAGATTGTAGAAGAGAGAAGCGATCTACAAACGCTTTGAACGCTAGAAAATGGCTGCTGTTACTGTAATCTTGCGAGAATACAGTAAGATCGGTCAAACACAGTTTACTAAGCAGCGGTAAATTATCGCTTCTTCATTTGCGATTCCTCCGATTCCCCAGCTCTGGGCTGAAGAATCTGGAGGGAGAACACAGATCGCCAGTGAAGGGCTGACATCGCTCCTTCATACACTGGCAGTCTGTGTGCTGAGATGATCAGCGTAGAACATGTTCTCCGCTAATCATCTCTGTTCCCTAAACCACTAATGATCTGAGATCAGCAATGATCCTAATAGGATCGCTGCTGATCTCTGTTTCATAAAAGGACACCTTTGTTAAATCACTGTAAAACAATGTCAAGGAATTTGTCAGAATGGCTATTACCTGTCACAGTGCCTGGGGCTGACATTCTTGGTCAGTGTATACAAAGCTGCACAGATAATCCAGAATTGACTTTCAGTTTTGATTGCCTGGTTACGGAAGAGTTGGCTATAGCAGGTTATTGTCATACCTACAAATCAAGTTTCCTTTTAGAACAAGGTTGTCCAACCCACGGGCCATATGCAGGCTCAGAGAATTTAGCATGTGGCCGGGGATGCTTTGCAAGCACAGCAGCCACGGCAGCCAACAGACAACCCTGGCCCATGCTCGGCTGTAGGGAAAAGGGGGATGCCGTGCAAACATAGCAGCCCAGCAGCCTACCTTGACAAGCCAGGCATATGCATGCTGGAAGGGTTACTGTGGCTGCCATTTTTACAGTAGCATTGGCATCAGGAGCACCTGAAAAGTAAATGCTGCTTGGCCGGATCTAGGGGTGTGATGGGTTGGGCTGTCAGCAAAAGTTCCACCTGCGGCTCTCAGCAGGTAGGTGCAGCTGTCGACCCATTCATTATATTGACAGTGCTCTGGCGGCCACACCTGTTCACTCCCCTCCAAAGCCAGCGATTACTTGTGGTGATCACTGCTGGACGCATTTGTCTGTTTCCAGCAGCAATCCCTATAGGTAATCTCTGGCTCCATAGACGGTCACAAAAAGGTGAAGCCGCCGGCGACCTGTCGTCATAGTGATACCCTCCCACTAAGAGCCACAGGAGGAACTACCCATCAGCTATCCTTATTGTTATCTGTGTATTTTATATGTGGCCCAAGACAATTTTTCTTTTTCCAATGTGGGTCAGGAAGATCAAAAGGTTGCACACCCCTCTTTTAGAACAGTAAACCTAATTTATAATTGTAGAGAGGGAATTATCTTGAATTCCCATTTAGTAGAAAAGTTAACATTTAATTTTAGAATACTGTTGCAATTGTAAGCACTCATGGGAAAGCTGCAATATAATAATGTTGACAAAAGGAGGATCAGTTGTTACATTTGAAGCGAATTCACACTGTTCACCCCGCTAAATCACAGAGTAGCTCGAGCAATTCAACGCATCGCACTGCTCCCTTTTTTTTTTCTTTTTTGTATGATTTTATACGAAGTGTACAAAACAGATTTCATTCACTGCTACCAGACATTGCAGTGCGATTCGGGCTGGTGTGTTGCGATAAAATGCATCATGATTGCATTGTGTCGCAGCAGGCTGCAACGCAGTGCTAGGCTGCATTGCAGTGTGAATGGGACACATAGGAAACAACTGTTTCGTGTGTGTCCCTGCGGTGACAGAGATTTTATCATGTGGTTTTACCACTGAATTGGCAAGTAAGAGCTAAACACTCTATTTACTGGTCTAATTATTTTTAATCTGCAACCTGTTGCCATCCGATTGCAATGCAGTGTGGAAAACGCACAGTATTCGCAGCGTTTCCCACACCGCATCATTGTGAACTCGGTCTGAGATAATGTAGTTAAGGATTGATACATTTCCTGCAGCATCATAACATTGTATCATTTTCTCAATCTAGTACGGACTCCTATATTGAAGTATTGGATGGCTCGAGAGTGCACCCTGAAACCTACGAGTGGGCACGCAAAATGGCAGTTGATGCGTTAGAGTATGATGAGTCTGCTGAAGATGCTAACCCTGCAGGAGCTTTAGAGGAGATTCTAGAAAATCCTGAGAGACTGAAGGATCTTGATTTGGATGCTTTTGCTGAAGAACTTGAGAGACAGGTACCTTTTTAAAAAAAAAAAAAAAAAAAACAATCACTTTTTTCTTTTCTTTATTTAAAGCATACTTAAACTGGCACAATAAATTTCTCCTCTCCTTTGCAGGGTTATGGTGATAAACATATCACATTGTATGATATTCGAGCTGAGCTTAGCTGCAGGTACAAAGACCTTCGAACACCTTACAGGTCAGCTAACCCTGAGGAGGTCTTTAACATGCTGACCAGAGAAACGCCAGAGACATTCTATATAGGTGATTTTCTCTCTTCCCCCCCCCCTTTATATTTCATCCTACATGGCATATTTGGAAAGATTTCATTCAGTAAATGTATTTTCTTGTTTTTTTAAAATCACTGACCACTTGACATGCTTGAGAGCTGTATTGATCTTTTTATTTTTTTTTTCAGGTAAATTGATAACCTGTAGTGTTACTGGTATAGCGCATAGAAGACCTCAAGGAGAAAGTTACGACCAAGCTATCAGGAATGATGAGACGGGGCTTTGGCAGTGTCCATTTTGCCAACAAGATAATTTCCCAGAGCTTAGTGAGGTATGCTGTCTTAAAATAAAGGTAACGTATGCAGGTATTATTTTCCCTTTATGTGATAATCAGGTGATCATTTTTTGTTGTAGGTATGGAATCATTTTGACAGCGGTTCTTGCCCTGGTCAAGCTATTGGTGTTAAAACACGGCTAGACAATGGTGTGACTGGCTTCATCCCAACAAAATTTATTAGTGATAAAGTAGTTAAACGGCCTGAAGAAAGAGTAAAGGTATGTGACAGTATTGTAGGGAGGCTTGTTTTGTTATATAGCTATGATGGATTGAGATAAACGGTAACCGTGATATGACTATTTCTTTCCAATTTAGGTGGGCATGACTGTACATTGTCGAATAATGAAAATCAACATTGAAAAGTTTAGTGTGGACATGACATGCAGATCCTCAGACTTAATGGACAAAAACAATGAGTGGAAGTTACCCAAGGACACTTACTATGACTTTGACACAGAGGCTTCACATCTAAAACAGGATGAAGAGCTGAAAAAGAAACAGCAGCGTACCAGTGAGTAAGCTCTTGGCTTCTACATAATAGAAAAGGGATTCATAAATTGTTACAGTGTAATAACTTCCAATTAGAATAACACCCCGGTCACATTGGGTGCAACTTGGCATGCAATTTGCATGCCATGCGACTTGCAAATCGTATGCCAAGTTGCACCCTATTAGCAAATCGGTGCGGTTACGACTTGGTTGGAGCCGCACCGATTTCTAAAGTAGTACATGTGCTACTTTTGGTGCGATTTGCATAGACCTCTGTGTCAGATGTCTTGCAAATCGCACCTGGAATTGGCATCTCACCTGACTTTGAAATTGTGCGACTTCACTGTAAGTCACACGATTTCAAAGTCGGGCTTGATGTGACTGGGGGGTAATGTTGGATGCTGCCTAGTGATCATATCACCCAGGTTTATAAGCCCACTTCAGTTAAAATATCAACAGGTTTAAAAGCGCTATAGTGACCTTGTAATATTATCAACAGCAATGATGATTATTATAGCTAATATAGTATATTATAGTGTAAACAGCCCTACTGTACCAAAGAGAGTTAGCAAGGGTCAAATCTGCCCTTATGCCAAAAAACAATTTGAAAGGTCTTTTTTATGCACAGACAACATAATGACTCCATATAGAGAAAAGTAAATTTAAAAAGATACAGCAGACATAAACATTGAGCAATAAACCTCCTGGTGGTGTTGCTGTGTACTGAGTAAAGCAAACTGCCACTGCGGGATTCTACTCTGCCATCCCTAAAGCTGTTCTGGGCATCCAGGGAGAATCTGAAGCAAAAGGGGTCAAATTGGGCAGATATGCACTGTGTGATTCTTTTTTGCCCCTCGTTGCCCTCTTTTGTTTCAGGTTTAATGTGGTGGACTGCCAAAAGCAACAATGTAAGATGATACAGATGACGAATAATTAAACTACATGTATAAATTGGTTGTAGTTTCTTATTCATTACATGGTCATAACAGATGTTTCAGATGAATAGATGACAATTTTAATATCAACAGCTGACTGTTAATGGAGAATTCCAAACTGCGTAGAGTCCAGAAAACCGTGTTCTATATCTTAAAAGGGATGCACATGGGTTGGTCCTCTGTTGATGAGCTAGTTTTTTTATGCTCATCAACAGATACCCAAACAAATCCAGTCAACAATTTTGAGCAGACCTAATGATGTTCCTTTATGGGTATTTGAATATACAGCAGTCATATACAGGCAGATATTAAGCCATCGCAATGGTTCTTTTTTTCATAATAATCTCCAGACACATTCACATGAATGTACAACTTGCTGCAATATTTGCTGACTTTCATCTCTGGTAGTGTTTGATGGCTTAACTGTCTGCACAGCATCCTTTTTAGGTCAGTAGCTTTAATGACTATTATGTTTAGTACAGCTTTTTTTTTTCTAGGATAGTAGTGTCATTGGCAACCCTAGAATGCCGATTAATCCAGTGTATTTGTGCATTTTCAGCTTACATAAAACGTGTCATTGCACATCCCTCTTTCCACAATATTAACTTCAAGCAAGCTGAGAAGATGATGGAGACAATGGACCAAGGAGATGTTGTTATTCGACCAAGCAGTAAAGGGGAAAATCATCTGACAGTCACATGGAAGGTTAGCGAAGGTATTTACCAACATGTGGATATACGAGAGGAAGGGAAGGAGAATGCCTTCAGTCTGGGGTCAACGCTATGGATTAACAATGAGGTATGAAGAAGTGAGCAGTGTGCAACCAGAAATGTACATTTAATATGACTTTACTTTGCGTGTGAGTTTACATATATAAATATTTTTTTGTTTTTTTTTTTTTTTTAATTTTGTTTTTTTTTATGGTGCATTCATAAAGCATTCAGCCTCCCTTCACTTTTTTCAATCACCTTCATGCTACAGTTTTAAATTCATTTTTTTCCCTCAATCTACACTCAGGATTCCGTAATGACAAAGTCAAAACAGAATTTTAGAAATGTATGCAAAAGGAAAAACTGAAATATCACTATGGCATAAGTATTCAGACTCTTTGCAACAACATTTAAAATTTAGCTCAGGTGCCTCCTATTTTTTTTATGCCTGCTGAGATGCTTTTACACCTTAATTGGAGTCCACCTGTGGTAAAATAAATTGATTGGACATGATTTGGAAAGGCAAACACTTCTCTATAAAAGGCCTCATAGCTGGTAATGCATACTATATTAGCGCAAAAATAGTGAGGTCAAAGGAACTGCCTGCAGAGCTCAGAGACAGGATTATTACAAGGCATAGATCTGAGGACGGCTACAGAAAGGAAGGCAGCAAATGTTGTACATGCTGGTTACAGTGTATTTCTCTCTGAAATTCTGAGGAAAATGGGTCGTTCCAGACATTGTTCAGAAGAACAGCGTACCTTGATTAAAAAGTTAATTGGAGAGGGGAAAACATAGAAAGAAGTGCACAAAATGATAGGCTGCTCAGCTAAAATGATCGCAAATTCTTTAAAATGACAACCAAAAACCTGAAAGATGTGGAAGAAAGCGAAAAACTACCATTCGAATGGATAGAAGAATAGCCAAAATGGCAAGGACTCAGCCAACAATCAGCTCCAGGATGATCTAAGAAGGTCTAAAGTTACCTGTGAGTACTGTTACAATTAGAAGACGCCTATGTGAAGCCAAGCTCTCTGCAAGAAGCCCCCGCAAAGTCCCACTGTTGAAAAAAAGACTTGCTGAAGAGGTTACAATTTGCCAAAGAGCACATTGACTGGCCTAAAGAGAAATGGTGCAACATTTTGTGGACTGATGAAAGTTAGATTGTTCTTTTTGGGTCTAGTGGGCGGAGACAGTTTGTCAGATGACCCCCCAAACACTGAATTCAAGCCACAGTACACTGTGAAGACAGTGAAGCATGGTTGCGCAAGCATCATGATATAGGGATGTTTCTCATACTACGATGTTGGGCCTATTTATCGCATACCAGGGATCATGGATCAGTTTGAATACATCAGAATACTTGAAGAGGTCATGCTGCCTTATGCTGAAGAGGAAATGCCCTTGAAATGGGTGTTCCAACAAGACAACGACCCCAAACACACTAGTAAACGTGCAACATTTTGGTTCCAGACCAACAAGATTGACGTTATGGAGTGGCCAGCCCAATCCCCGGATCTTAATCCAATAGAAAACTTGTGGGGGGTGACATCAAAAATGCAGTTTCTGAGGCAAAACCAAGAAATAGAGAAGAACTGTGGAATGTAGTCCAATCATCCTGGGCTGGAATACCTGTTCACAGGTGCCAGAAGTTGGTTGACTCCATGCAACACAGATGTACAGCAGTTCTCAGAAACAGTGCTTATACAACTAAATATTTCAAGTGATTCAAAGGAAAGCAAAATCTTCAAACATTTTTCAGTTTATATAGTGAATGTTTGAGTTTGTAAAGAAGAATACAAACACTATTTTTTTGAACAGTCTAATATTCACTTTTTCTTCAATTTTTTTAGAGGAACAACACAAATTTGATCTATTATTCTTCATGTTTTGATTTGGAATAGAATGTGTAGTGTTCCCAATGCATTTGTGTGTATGGAAATAAAAGCTATTGGAAGAATTTTGAGCTTTATTCACTTTTTTCAACACACTGCTATTATTTTGAACACAACTGTATATATATGTGTGTATATATATATATATATATATATATATATATGTGTATATATGTGTGTGTGTATATGTATGTGTATATATATATATATATATATATATATATATATATATATATATATATAGATATATATATAGATATTTATTTATTTTTGCTGACACGGGAGCACATACGGAGAGCTTTGTTTTGTACTAAAACAGTTGACTCTGTTAAATCTACTGCTGTCAGAATCGTTTCTTTGTGCTTTTGAATAAATATCTTGGCAAAGCATACATAGTGAAGAATTCAACCATTTCATTTATTCTCTCACTCTCTATCCTTGCTGGATATCTTTTTTCTGTTTTTAGGAGTTTGAGGACTTAGATGAAATCATTGCTCGATTTGTGCAGCCAATGGCATCTTTTGCAAGAGATCTTATAAACCACAAATATTACCAGGACTGCAATTCTGGCGATAAAAAGGTTAGTGTGGCTGTAGATTTGTAATTTGATCTTTGATTTCCTGACTCAGCATTGCAAGGGTAATTGTATAGCTAACACAAATTATATCTATCTTACTAGGTCTTACAAATGACTAGAAAATTCATTTTTATTAATTATCTCATGCCACTGTATACAGGTCTCTGTTCTTTAGTGTGTGCGTGTTTTGTTTTGTTTTTTTGGGTTTTTTTTTTTCAATTTATCTAAAGCCCTAATTTTTTCAATTTCGATACTAGTGAGGGGACAAGAACCTCTATCATGTTTTTATGCTGTCTGTGTCTCTTTTCTAGACTTTCACTCTTTTGTTTTGCTGATGGCCACTGTCATCAGGGCTATAAGTGGTATAATAATAAGCACTTAAAAAATTTGAGTTGTTTTCAGAACAGGAATGGAAGGAATTAGAGAGCATTAGTTGCGGTGATAAGAGTGGATTTACCTTGCCTTGGAGAGATTTCCTCTCACTTTCTGTTGTGTTTGAATGGTTTTAAATATTGCAGGTTCCATCCAAAAATAAAAAGTGTGGGCTTCAGATATGCTTTTTTTTACCTGAATCTTTATTCAGGTTTATCAGAAAAAGTTATACAGTGGTAAAAAGAATAGAGAGAAACAATATGAGTATTTGTGGTTATGTAACACAATACGGAATTTACAGGGTGCACAACAGTAAGAGAGGTTGTGCAACCTGACTCTGGTACTCAGATTTGCAAACCGCCTTAAACCATCTCTTGTTTTAGGGAGTGGTCATCCTGATTCCTTTGGAGGACCGATTGAAAGGATATTCAAACCTGTTCACAGTACCAAAACCCAATGCGGGAGTATTCATCCTATCCTTCATGTAAAATCCCTTAAGTACCTTCCAGTTCCAAAGTTTTCTATGATATCTGCAAGGTTGGTTATTGCTTCTTTGAGATGAAGAGAACCTAGCATCCATAGACATTCAAGATATCTATCCACATATTGCCATTTACCCACCTCATCAGTGCTTCGAAATAAGAAACAAACAATTCCAATTTATCGCACTGCCATTTGGCTTATCCTCTGCACTCGCAGTATTTACAAAGGTACTTGCCCTCTTAAGAATTTGGGGTATTCAGGTCACGGGTTACCTAGACGTTCTTCTTCTTAAAGACTCTTCTCCCTTTCAGCTATTTGCCAATGTCCACAAGACTATTGAGATACTTCAGGCTTTCGGTTGGGTAATCACCGATGCTCATTTTTGATCTGCGAGTACGAGTATCGATACCTTCGGTCAAGTACTCACCGATACTGAGTACCGTCACTTTTGCGGTGCAATTTGTGTCAATACAAAATGTATATATGCAAATTGCACCGCACAGACTAGCATGTGATTTCAACAGGAATGCAATTCCTGTCCAAATCACATGTGGTTTCCCCATTGCTCATGTTTGAACCCAGGCTTATCACAGCCTGAGTTCACACAGGAGGGATGCGGGAAACCTCCCTGTGTGGATCCCATGCTTGTCACAGAAGGAAAAGCCGGGGATTTTAAATTCCTGCGGCTTTCCCTCCTCTTAGTGCAGGGATGACAGTACGGCTTTTGATCACGGTGCTGACCAATCAGAAGCCATTTAGCCGGTACGGTCATCCCTGCAAGGAGTGGAGAGATAGCCGCTTGACAGATCTGGGGATTTGAAATCCGCACGGCTTTCTCTCCTCTCCTAGCAAGGATGACAGTATGGTCTAGACGGCTTCTGATTGGTCAGCACCGTCACGGCACTCGTGTAACCCGTTTTCAGCTGACAGGGGGCTAAAGCCCACTATTGGCTGATGTAACTGACCCGTTCCAGGGTCTGGAGATCGGAGACTTTAAAGTTGGGATCCCCCCAGATGCCTGGACCAGCAGCTGACTCAGCCTCTCAGAGAGACCTTGAGAGCCTAAGCCAGCTGCTCCCGTCCCCTCCACGGCCCGTCGCTCCAATGAGCGCTGGAGGAGCAGAGAGACTGTGACTGGTCGCTGGCTCTTTGCTCACTGAAGACTGCTCACAGTCTTTGATTGCTCAGTTCTTGGTCTTCACCTCTGGGAAAAAAACATAACACCAAAACTACAACCATGGGTGCAATTTTGATGCATTTTTGCTAAGTTTATGATGCGTTTTCCATTCATTTCAATGGGGAGGTGAGTTTTTGATGCGTTTTTTTATAACAGCATTAAAAATGCAGCAAGCAGAACTTTGAAAAACGCAATGGACTCGCAATTGACCAGTGTAAAGCATTCCATAGGATTTAATGGTCATGCGATTTTCTTCCGCTTTTTTTGATGCAACAATGGAATAAAAATAGATCAGTGTGTGAAAGCAGACTTAGAGCTTCTTTTCCTGTCCTGTTGGTTGTACAGCCCTGCTTTATATTTGTGATACTGTGTCTCCTTTGGAAGCAGACTGGTGTGGAGTAAGCTGTGTATGGAATGAGAGATTCATCAGCGCATCATTCACATAAATTGCTTCATCGGTGGATGAATTCACATCAATGAACCTATAATGGACACTTTTTTTTATTACTTTTGTGATGCTTGTGTTTGGCACCATTTTATGTGTTTCATGATTTATTTCATGATGGCGTATTTTGCATTGCACATATACTGTAGTTTCTTTGTTATACAGTAGTTATTTGCACTCTCCATCACTTTGTAGTGTTAGGATTTACTGAACAGCAACCACTTCATTCTGGAAAACTGATTCCTTTTTTGTCCTCCCTGTGGGTCCCAAGAAGGGTCATCCTGCTTCCTCTTCCACCATAACTTGGTGGCTTAGGCAGCTACTTTCCAGGGCTTGTGCCTACAAGGAAAGGGTTCCCCTCTTCCCTATCAGGGCCCTGGTCATTTTTTTCATACCTCCACAAAATTTTACTCGGTGGATCTCCAGGCATTTGCTGATGCGAGCTTCAGGCACAAGATTCTTTAAGCTGTCATCTCAGTGTTTTTATGTCTGTTGACCCTTGTTTTCTTGTGGACCTTTTGCCATTGTTGTCCACCCTTCTGCTTTTTGCTTGGGGACGTCCCACAGATTGACTACACATCCTGTGTCTTGTACTGTACAATTAAGATAATGGGAATTTTGACTTGCTCTTAGATGCCATATCTTGGAGCACAGTACAGGACAAAGGTACCACCCCTCTGTTTTCTGTTTCTCTTTATTGCTTACTACAAAATTGAAGTCCTACTTTTGGGGTTGACTGGGTGGGGTTATGTGGGTGCACTGGGGGGAATTCCCAGCAAACATTTTACCAGCGTTCACTCACCTGAAGGTAGCTGTATATAACCCATGGTCTGTGTCTACACGTACTATGTCGTGTACTGTACTCCAAGAAAAGGTATTTACAGGTAAGTCAAAATTGTAGTTTTTCTTCAAGCATAGTTTTTACATTGCTCGCTACAATTGGCTGTCTTGTCTTCAGTCCGGTCTATAATTTCTCATACAACTGTTCTTGTTTTCATTGTCCATATTCAGAAATTGGAAGAATTATTGATAAAAACAAAGAAGGAAAAGCCTACATTCATTCCATACTTTATCTCAGCTAATAAGGAGCTCCCAGGCAAATTTTTGCTAGGATATCAGCCCCGAGCTAAGCCAAGGTGAGTGCTGTGACTGCTTTTGCCAGTCTGTAAAGGCCCTTTATTTGACAGTTCATAAACGTAATCGTTTTATTTAATATATTTTGTTCTAGAATTGAGTACATAACAGTGACACCTGAAGGTTTCAGATATAGGGGACAGATATTCCCTACAGTCAATGGCCTTTTCCGATGGTTCAAAGACCACTACCAAGACCCTGTACCAGGTGAGTGGGTTGTTAATTTTGTGAAGTGTACATAGCAAGGATGGAAAATATGTGAACAGTTACTTAAAATGGCTGTTTTTTTTTATGTGCTGCCCACAACTTTGAGCCATGATTGCATACCTTCAGTATACTTATTATAGACTTATAAATTCTGTGTCTTACAGGTATTACCCCTAGTAGCAGCAGTAGAACTAGGACTCCGGCCTCCATGAGTGCCACCCCTGCCAATATTAATCTTGCCGGTAAGTGGCCTTCTTCAGTTTCTTAATTTAAACATATTTTCTTAGCTGTTTGAACTAATTTTTTTAAATTATTTTATGCTTGCAGATCTGACCCGTGCTGTGAATGCTCTCCCGCAAAACATGACTTCCCAAATGTTTAACGCTATTGCTGCAGTTACTGGGCATGGGCAAAATCCCAATGCAACGCCAGCTCAATGGGCATCCAGTCAGTATGGTTATGGTGGAGGCAGTGGAGGTGGGAGCAGTGCTTATCATGTAAGTATCTTCTTTCTTTTTTTTTTTTTTTTATAAAGACATTGGCAGTAATGGATGATTTCATGCCAGTTTTTATTGTGTTATTGATTTATTGAACAGTTATTGCTCTAAAATTAGTGATTTTTACAAAAGTATTGTGTGTGTGTGTGTTAAAAAAACTATATATTGTAGCTTAGCAATCATTGAATGTGGTGGCTGTGTTAGTTTTTCATTTTTTTCAGGCTTGTATTCCTTTTTCACCTGCTATTTGACCAACAACACATTTTCTGTCTTAGAGTAGCTATGTTCATATCTCCACTGCATCTATAGAGGAGCAACGTAGCTACTCTTGGACAGCAGCCTTGTCAAACAGTGGATGGGAGATGGTAGTTTTAGATGGACTTTACAAGTGACTTAAAATGTAATCATGAATTCCAGCTAACACTTTTTAAACAGTAACAGAAATAGGTTTTTATTTTTTTGGGGGGGTGTAAAGGATATACATAAATATTAGCTGACCATTGTAAGCACCCCTGTTAGTGGTAAATGGTGTGTCCCAACCCTCTAACTGCCACCTTTTGCTGAACAGCTTGGGCTGCTAAGGCAGAACTAAACACAATTTTTTTTTCGTCAATAGGCAGGCTCTTTATTGCATACTGTAAGAGACATGCAATATCTCTTTTGCGATTAAAGAATGACCTGGCTGTTCATAGTCCTCTAGAATGTAAATGCAACATGCACAGGAGTAACGTCATCTCACATCGGCCAATCAAGTGTGCCAAGATGAATGACTCTTGCACATGTGCGGGATCGATGGTCAAGGTGGCCGAAAATGTGCCCAGAAGAAGCTTGTTAGAGGATACAGATGAGGGTGTCGTGTGCATCAGACTGATCACCGCGATCCCCGGAATGTAAGCTGAGCTGCGCATACAGCAGCTCAGCTTACAGCGCCCGGCCCAATCCTGTGTGCCTGGATGGCAAGCTCCTGCATGCACAGGAGTGACATCATCCAACGCCAGCCAATGAAGAGGTCAGAAAACCAGCACACTGGAGAAGATGCCAGTACAAGAGGGGGATCATTGGAGAGGTAAGTATCTCTGCCTTTAGTTCCACTTTAATATCATTTTGACTGTTTTCCAGTTCTAGCATAGTATGCTGTTGGAAACATTTACTTTTTGTGTAATCATTTATTTTCTGCATATGCTACATTAACAATCTTTTTTTTTTTTTTTTCCTTATGAAGGTTTTTGCAACTCCAGCACAGCAGCCTATGGCTACGCCTCTGATGACCCCCAGCTACTCGTATGCTACTCCCAGCCAACCTATCACAACACCACAGTACCATCAGCTACCGCCAAGTGCTACACCAACCCCCGCACCCACACCACAGTCCTCTCATTCACAAAGTTCTTCAACATCAAGTTCCCGACACAGACAGCAATCCAAGTAAGTATAGCATCTATTTATTCTTAATCAAATTTAGATTTTTATTGTTTCTTTTATACCAATGCCTTTTATTCTCAAAAACTACATTGAATTAAGGAAGGAAAATCCTTTAATCCAGTATGACAAAAGTTCCAGTATTTTGCTGCTTTCTAAACCCACAGACAGCATCAGTGGAGAGGGTGCAATGTTTCATTAAATATGAGGCAAACACATTTCAGTTGTTTTTTTCCTTTGTTTAAACTCTTGTGCGGTGAAAGTGTCATTCCTGTGGTTCATCAATGAGAGCAACTTTTCTGCATGCTGAAAAACAAATATACTTAATGCCTCAGGTTTTTCATACTTTAAGTCCCATTTTTTTATTCTGTTTACAGTCTAATGAATCATAGGGGTAGATTTACTAAAGCTGGTTCACTCAATTGGTTGTTGGCGGAACCGCTCCTGATTGTGTGACCCCTATAACAATCACAGTGGGCACATGATTGCTGTTCATTCCTGTCAACTGGGCATACAAGCCCTATTAAAGGGACTCCAGCGCTGCATGAGAAGAGGTTAAGATGAGCCAAGCTATTTATATATAAACTGATATTGTACAGATACCAGGGTTGGTTGCTTGACCAAAGATTTGCAGTAAGCAGCATACTGTGTCTTTGCCGGTTCCACCATTAATGGCTGGGATATGTACAGTAGAGGACAAGTGCATGCTAATTTTCAGTTCTTCACCTGGGTACAACTATTTTCTTAATTTACCTTTATGTAAAAATGTACTTGTTTGATGCTGATAAACCAGCATGGGCAGCTCCATCCACCTGCTGGCTCTTAAACGCCCATAACATGCTCAGTATAGCTGCAAGCCGTGTTTTTTTTTTTTTTATTTCTAAATAATTATTGTGATATATCCTTCTACATTAACATCCTGATCGTTTGTCTGTTACCAGAACCAGTAGTCAGACCCCTATTGACTGGGGCAAAATGGCTGAACAGTGGCTGCATGAAAAAGAGGCAGAGAGGCGAAAACAGAAACAGCGGTTAACCCCTCGTCCATCTCCAAGTCCTATGATTGAGAGTACACCTATGTCTGTCGCAGGGGATGCCACACCACTGCTGGATGAAATGGACCGATGAGTGCAAGAGATGGGAAACCAACTCGAAGGACACATGAGAACATTACTCTCCCCATTTTTGACAGTTGTACAAAAAGATTCCCAAACTCTTAGTGGAGGATGGTTGTTTCAGTGGTCTGATATATCCACTGATCACCTTAGGAAGATTGGACCCTTCCAGTGCAACGCTCAATTTACTTAAGTGCTTGAAATGATACTTTAGCACCAAGCATCAATGTCAGATTGTGTTCATATTAAAGTATTGGTTTACTTCCAAGAAGAGAGGTAAAAGTGCTAAGATGACCTCAGTAAAAAAAAAACAGTTAAGTTTTTATGGGCTATGTTTTAAACATAGAATGGGGTTCACTGTTCTTTTTTAATTGCATATTCTGCCAAAGAATGCAAAATAAAACAAGAGAGGTCTGAAGCGAAGATCTCATTTCTGTAATAAATATGATAATGTTGACTGGCTGGAGCCATTTTATAAAGATACATGGAACTAAAGGCTGATGGGGAGCATTAAGCAACTGAGGGCAGACAATATAGTTTCTGTTCCTAATATCCTCTAAAAAGAAAAATAGAGGAACATGCTACAATGTTTTATGCATTTGGGTATTTATTTTTCATCCTTGCTCTATTTTCATGCTTCACTGCAACGTGCAGCTAAGTGTAAGTTTGCAACAGTGTCCCTACACAGGCTTGGTGCATATGTGCGACATGAGTTTCTTTTTTTTTTTTAAAACATTATCATTGCCGTGTACAGGTGTCTTAGATTTCCGATGGCACCTAAAATTATCTTTATTTTAATAATTTTTATTTGTTTTGTTTTGGCAGCAGGCAAATAAAATAGTCTGGGCAAAATGATTTATAGTTTTGTTTGTTAGATGCCTGATTGAAAAAATGTTTTTTTTTTTTTTTTTCCTGCGCTGGCTTAAATCTTCTTGTTAGAGATTTGTAGTTTTACACGTCTAGTGGCTAATCTGACTCGGATTTTGTAATTGTACATCACAAGGCACTTCATATTCATGGCTACTTTGATTATGCTGCCACTGTCAGGTCAATGAACTTTGGCCAGAAAAAAGCCAAGAATTGCTTGCCCAGGTAAACCCCCTCCCAGTTTGGTAAAGCCCCAAGTTTTAGCTAGTATCCTTAGGTGATGGATGTTCCTACAGATGTCTCTCTAAAGATCTTAAGAACAGAGATGGCCTGTAATGTTACTGGTTGGAGCTAGATGGATGCAGCAAGCAGCGATCTCCAGGGCACTGTGTAACCTGGAAGGGATGTTTACAGGTCCAGGACAGTGATACTCATAGAGGGGTAGTCAAGTCCCAGAATGCCCTGCAGGACATGCCTATCATGAGAAGTTAATATTGGGCCCTGCATCTGGACTGGTTATTGTCTGTAGTAGTGGAGCAGGTGGTAGTCCCTGCCTACAGTGGTAAACTTGTGCTTTGTAGGCCGATATTTCTGTGTGGAGAGCTACAAATCTGTAGCAGTGCTCAAAAGGGGAGGGCCAGCGTAGTGTTCTTGTGCGATGACATCATCAAGTGGATGCTGTTTTGCCAGTCTCCAGGGCCAACACTTATTTGGACCATACTTGAAAGTCTTCATCTAGAAAGTGATTACGAGTAAAAGCATGCTCCTACCCGTAAAGAAGGTGACAGATCAGAAATCGGAGACGCCGTCTGTATCAAAGAAGAGTTACTTTCATAAGCAGCAAGCCTTGGACTCTTAAAGAAAAGGCAACATCCCATTCTGTAAAAATTGTCCCCAAGTCCTGTGGGTCTGAGGCATGTCCTCTTCACGGTGAAGGGGGGAGGGGTGGGCTAATTACATGCAAAAACAAGCAGTTTTTTTTTACTGTGATTTTTCTGCCAGCTGCTGTCAGAAAGGTCCAGCATAGATAGGAGTAAATTATTATACCTGTGTGCATGAAGTCTATATCTATACTAAAAAATAAATAAATAAATTTACCAGCCTTTGTTTTTATCCGTGTCCCCCAGCTCAGCACTCATGTAGTCCAAGCCACTTGTAGTCTCCTCTTCACGTTATTGTTATTAAGTTTGTTCTGTGTCTGTGGTGCACACATCATTATGTGCATTATTAGATGTGTAACCGAAGGCAAATTTCCATGTATCTGCTTTCAGGTTCTGGTGTTGCAGCCTTCCTGAAAGACACTGGAGTCCATTTACTAAAGGCAGATAGGCTGTGCATTGCAAGTGCACTCCAAGTGAAGCTGCAGTTGCTGTAGATCTGAGGGGAACATGCAAGAAAAATAGCATTTTTTCTTGCACAAGATTTGATGAAAGAAATCAGCAGAGCTTCACCTCATTCATAGCTTCCACTCTGTTCTAAAGTAACTACACTTGCAGTGCACAGCCTACATCAGCACTTGCCTAGTGAGCAGAAAGAGAAGGGAGGCAAATAGAGTTCTTATGTAGAAGATTAGGATAATTATTCAGCTTTTCATGGTGAGGTTGGGGGGAGGTAGTGTTAACGAATAAGATGTAAAATACAACATCTTAATCATACAATGTAGGACACAGAAATTCATTCTTAGACCATTGGGTTAAATAATACTACCTTCAGGTGATTGAACAATGACCAAGGCTTTGCTGGGAACCATCTCCCAGTGTACCCATTTAACTCCATCCACTCTGTGAGGATCTGGGTTTTTTTTTGCTAGTGTTGTTAAGTTCTGGACCACTTCTCTGGTTTGGAGACAATTTATCACCTACTTACATCGACTGACTCTTCTATCAAGAATTTGCTGCTTATTTCCCTACAGCTCATTAGCCATTAATGGATTGATCACCCTGTATGTACATCTTGGGAACTGTACTTGGGCCTCACACTAGCAGTGCTTGCCTGTAATGTTTGCATAGGGCATCGGATTCTGCATTTTGGTGCTCTCCGTGGAACGAGTGAGTGAGTTAGCTGCCGGGTTCTATACAGGTCCAGGTGCCATGGTCCATTCCCATGGCACCTGGACCCTGAAGACCCCTTCAAGAGTATGCCCACAATGAGAGGTGAAGCCTGGACCCTAAGTGGGACCAGTAACATAAACAAGGTAAGACAGGTTTCGCTGTACCCTTGCATACATTTGTGGCTATAAATGTTTTGTTGGGTAATGCTACATTGTATCCCTTTTTTTTTTTTCCCTCTCTAAAAGACACACTCAGTTTTGTGCACACAAGCAGTGTTGAAGGTGCAGGTTATGGATATCCTACACTTAGTGTTTATTTATTTATTTTTATACACTGGTTTTTATCATCTTGCTTTATTCTGTCTTATAATGGTTTCTATAGTGTTTATCTGTTTAAAATCAGCCTTTTCTCCCACCTCACTACCAGAAGATACTCTCTGGCTAGTGACATGGTGCTCAAAACTCTTTACTGCTCACTTCCAGTCAACATTTTCTGCTGACCATACAAGTGGTTCATTTTCTGTCTCACCTGTTGCCTGATATATATCAGACACAAAGCCATGGGAAATCGGATGGTGCCAAGGTTATTTCAATACCTTCATACTGGTCACACTAACCCCCCCCCCCCCCCCCCCCCCCCCCAGTCTACATCCAGTCTGTAAGTACCCAAAGGGCATGATTCTCCCACGCACTGGTGGATCGCAGGCTCACGGGAGCATATGGAACAAATAGTGGGAATTCCAGTGCAGGCCCTGAGGAAACTTCCAAGATTGACAGCGCTTTGTTGTGACGCAAGATCTCACACTGACACTGCTTCAACCTCCTAATTCTGGCTCTTTTAGACATGCAACATATAACCTGTCTGTCTAAAACAGAATTCTCTGAACTATATATGATCTTTTCTAAAGACAATTACTGCTCCTGAAATCACTGCATGCTAATGCGTGTAACAATGGTTTTCTGCTTTTCTTTACCCTAGTAATTAGACCTTTCATGCTTCACACCATACTGCCTTTCCGTTTTGAATGTTGCGGCTGCAAATAATTTTTTGCTGCTAAAATTTCATGATGTGACTCTGTTAACTTCTAATAATATGCTGGCTGCTGTGTACTCTTTTGTTGAGTCGACAGCAGCCAACATGTGAACTCTAGTCTCTGAATAGCAACATCTAGTGCTACTCATCCCCTGCACGCTCTTCTGGGAAAAAAAAAATACTAGTAAGCATTTCCTGATTTATAAATCAGGCAGAATTGGTCAACGCAGAGGTTCCCCCCCCCCCCCCCCCCCCTGCCCATTTTGTAATTTGTTGAAGGAAAGTTTAACGGGAGGTGGTCTGTTTCTGCTGTGGACCCAGCTATTGTTGCACTGAATAATCAATCTACTGTTTCTGTTGATAAGAGATGTTTGTAGACTTTAGAAGTCCTCTTTCCCAAATCATCTTTCAGGACAGCACCTGGAGAGAGAGCATAGCTCCACACATTTTCCTAGGAAATGCTGCAGTCTCTACCTTTAATAGCAGGGCACTTCCACCACTGGGAAGGGGGGTAGTCTGTAGTCCTTTTCTTCCCAGCCAGGTGTGGCCTTTGGCTGACTGGATTCCAGCCTCTAAGACTCGGTAATGTGCAGAGGAACCGCTACAGGCGTAGCACTGTCCAGGAAATTTCATTCAGGGTGGGTCCCAGTGGCAGGTGACATTATGTCCAGAAGGGGTGAGATTCAAAGCAGGTTCTGGCTGCTGGAGTGCAGGAGGAGGGGGCAGGCCCCGGCTGGTATGTATTTCCGGTCCTCGCAGACTGGAAAAATTTAAAAGACAGCCTGTGGATTACCGCTGTGCCGACAAGCACCAGGTAGGGGAAAGGGCTTCTGTTTTATTTATATATATATATATATATATATATATAAATAAAACCTTTAGACTTTATTTTCCCTCCTTCCTTTCCCTATGATGTTTGCTTGGGGATGAGGAGCCTGCACTACATTCCCAAGGTTACCTCTTGGGGGGTTTAATAGGGTGGCTGGTATATAGGCTTGGCTGCTTGGAGGGTGGTTTTTTTGTGGGGTGCTATTTATGGCTTTTTTTTTGTCTGTCATTTATA